ATCAGAATTTCTTGCACCTATTAAACTGTAAATCAGCACACATTCCCCAAACTTTCATCATCCCTTCCTCCTTCTACTTTCCCGATCCTTCATGGCCACCATTTTTCTCCCCGTGTCTATGAGATCAACTTCTTTGGATTCCACCTTTGAGTGAGACCATGTGGTACTTGACTTTCTGTGTCTGACTTTTGTTACTCAACAGAATGATCTTTGGCTTCATCCTTGCTGTTGTAAATGACAGCTTTTCCATCTTTTTAATGGTTCATTAGAATTCCATTGTGTATATGTACCACATTTTATTATCCACTTCCTGTTGATGGACACTTAGGCTGTTCATCTTGGCTGTCAGAGTACTGAAAAAAACATGGAAATATAGATGTCCCTTCAGCATACTGATTTCACTCTCTTCAGATAGACTCTGAGGAGTGGAGTTATTGGATAGAAGGTAGTTTCGTTTTTCAATTTCTTTGAGGAGCTTCCATACTGTTTTCCATAATGATTACACTGATTTATAATTCCAACAGCATGCAAGGATTTCCTTTTGTCCTCATCCTTGCCAGCACTTGTTATGTTTAATCTCTCTGGCAATTGCCAGTCTTACTGGGTTGACATGACCTATCATTGTAGATTTGAATTGCAGTTCCCTGATGATTAATGGTATTGAACATTTCTTCACATGCCTGTTGGCCAGTTATATGCCATGTTTTGAGAAATATATATCTAGATATATTGCCCAGTTTTAACCACATTATTTTTTTGTGGCTACTGAGTTTTGGAAGTTCCTTATATGTTCTAAATATGAACCCCCTTGTTAGATGTGTAGTTTGCAAATATCTTCTCCCATTCTGTAGGTTGTCTTTTCATTCTATTGATTGCTTCCTTTGCAATGCAGAAGCTTTGTAGCTTGATGTAGCTCTATTTGTCCATTTTTGCTTTTATTTCTCATGTGTTTGAGATCTTTTCCAAAACTCTACTCATTTTAATATCATGAAGCATTTTTCCTGTGCTTTCTTACAGTTGTCTTGTAGTTCAGGTCTTATTTTTAAGCCTTCAATCCACTTTGAGTTGATTTATCTAACTGGTAAGGGGTAGGGATCTAATTTTATTCTTCTGTATGTAGATATCCAGTTTAGAAGCTTATTGAAAATACTGGCCTTTCCCCACACAACGTATGGAAACATTGACCTTTCTCCATACAAAGTATGTTCTTAGCAACTTTGTCAAAGATGTGTAGATGTGTGGGTTTACTTATAGGCTCTGTACACTGTCTCATTGTTCTGTGTGTTTATAGGTAGGTTTGTAGGTCCTTCTAGGTTTATTTGTAGGTGCTCTGTTTTGTTTCACTGGTCTATGTGTCTACTGTGTCTTTATTGAACTTCTGTCTTTGTGATTTGTCCATCACTAGAAGTAGGATGTTAAAGTCTACAACTACTACTGCATTGGGATCTATCTGTCCTTTTAGGCCTGTTATATTTGCTCTATTCATTTTTAGCTCAAACTTGGGGTTCTCTCTCTCTCTCTATATATATATATATAGAGAGAGAGAGAGAGAGAGATATAGATATAGATATATTTATATGGAAAAAAGTAGTCTTTACTTATTGAATGCCACTTTCAACATCTTCATGATTTAAACATCATACAATGCACATGTGCAGTAAAATATGACATGACATCACATTAAAATATACAAATCCATATAGATATATCTCTCTAAGATATAGATAGACGAAGATATAGATATATAGATCTCCCTCTCTCTCTCTCTCTATATATATATATATACATATATGTATATAACATATGGATAGATAGATTTAAAATTATCTCCTCTTGCTGAATGGATCCCTTTGCATTATATAATGACCTTTCTTCTTACCTTTTCAATAATTGTTAAAAATGTGTAGTGTTTAATGTTAAGTCTGGCTACTCTTTTAGATTCCAGCTGAATGAAATATTGTTTTCCATTCCTTCCCTTTTGCTCTAGACATGCCCTTAGAGGTGAAGTCACATGTTTGTAAGCAACATATATGGGTCTTATGTATTTATCTGTTCAATTACTCTACTTTTTTTAATATTTTTCTTTTACAAAGAATAATAAAACAGAACAATAGCAAAATACCAACAGCATAGACAAAAACAAAACAAAGAGAAAATAATAACAATAATAAAGGGTTTTGGAACAAAATAATAGGATTTAACAGTGGTAGTTATATTACATATAGTTATCTTCAACAAAGTTGCTCAGACTATCAGATGTAAGAATGCAAGATTGATCAAACCAATAAAGAGAATATAAAAAAAAATCAGAAAGAAATTAGAAATGATTGAGTTTCACCAGACAAGATGGTAGGAATTCACCAATGGTTGTTATATTTCATATTATTGTCTTCAAATTCATTGTTCAGATTACCAAAATATAAGCATCCAAAATTGGCCAAAAAGAAAAAAATTACTTTTTCCACATCAAAAGAAATTACCTACAGAGTAAAAAGAAAACCCATGAATTGGGAAAAAATATTTAGCCAACTCACTCTCAGATGAAGGACTTCTATCTAGAACATATAAAGAATTTTTTAAAACTCAGGCCCCCAAAATTCAAAGACCCAATCAAAAAATCTGAGATGAAACACACTTCTCAGATGAAGAGAAATACAAATTAAAACAACATTCAGATTTCATCTCATCCCAGGAAGAACAGCTATCATTAAGAAGTCAACCAATAACAAATGCTGGAGAGGCTGTGAGGAAAAAGGAACACTTCTCCACTGCTGGAGGGAGTATAGATTGGTGAAACCACTGTGGAAATCAGTGTGGAGATTCCTCACAAAACTAGGCTTAGAAGTCCCACTTAACCTAGCTATTCCCCTTCTGGGTATTTTCCCAGAAGAATTGAAAACATCATTCCACAGCAATATACGTGCATGTATGTTTATAGCAGCACAATTTGTCATAGGTAAATCTTGGAAAGAATCCAAATGTCCATCAATGAAGAGTAGATAAAAAGGATGTGGTATTTTTATACAATGGAGTATTACTCAGCTATAAAAAAGATGAACTCGAGGCTTTTATAGGTAAATGGATGCACCTAGAGACCATACTCGTAAGTGAAATAAATCAGACCCACATGTGTAAACGTCATGTTTTCTCCCAAGTGTAAGAACTTGAAAGAGTAAATAAAATGCAAAACATACAATAGATATTATGAAAGGGAAAGAAATTAGTCAAAGGAAAGAACAACTGGGATGAGAGAAAGGAGAACAAAAAAGAACAAAGGGAAAATATATATATCAATAGCTGGGATAACTGTATTGCTGGCATTTAATCATTTATTAAAAGGAACAGTTAATGCCTAATTTTTTTACTCTATGTTTTTTAACTGGAGAATTTAATCTAATTATATTCAAAACAACTATCCATAGGTACAAATTTACTACAGCATTTTCTACTTTGCTTTCTAGATTTATTATAGTTATTTTTTTTTCTCATTGTCTTACAGTTTACTTTTATAGTTAAGTGATTTACTCTGCGGTGTGATTTTATTTCTTATTTATTATTTTGGATTTTCTATTAAATATTTTCCCCTTATTTATAAAAAAACATCTTTTGATGATAATAAGGTATTTTCAAATGCTGCAAGGTCACATGATCATGAATACAAGAAGAGAAACAAAACAGAACAAGAGAAAATATGCTGAGAGGTCTCTACCTGTACTGCATTCTTCCCTACACTGTGAATTTTTCATACCCCATTAATATCTTTCTGCATTCTCTGTGTCTTAATACATTATTATTATCATTAGTATTATTTGAAGTGTTTTGGATTTTAGTCTTCATCTAAAGATACGAATGGATTTTGTACCATGTTTGTAATATTAGAGCATTCTGAATTTGTTTGTATATTATTTATCACCAGCAAGTTTTATGGCTTCCAATGTTTTCTTCTAGGTAACTTTTCTTGCTTATAGTCTGAAGGACTCTGCTAGCATTTTTGGTAGAACAAGTATGTTTTAAGATATATTCTTTTAGTTTTTGTTTGTCTGGAAATGTTTTTATCCCTTCTTCATTTCTAAAAAAATGGGCACAGTATTCCTGGAAAAAGTTCTTCATGGAGTTCTGTGAAAATCTCATGCCACTCTCTCCTAGTCTGAAGAGTTTCTGCTGAGAAGTCTGCTTTTGGGTGAATTCAGGCACCATTTTCAATGATATATCAAGGTATGAGAAATCTCAAATATCCCAAAGCATTTTTTTCTTTTCTCTACAGTGTTGGGTATCTTCTCTTTAATCCTTGAAAGCTTCATTATAAGTTGTCTTAAGTAGACTTGGTTTACCTTTACTTCTAGCTTTACTGTACTTAGATACCTGCCTACTCTAGGGTTGGGAAGTTTTCTGTCTGCTTGAATAAGCTTTCCACCCCTTTTGTTCAGTAAACTGAATATTTGTCTTTTATTACTGTTACATACTTCCGGTAGGTTTTCTTCAGTCTTGTTTTACCTTTTTCTCTTCTATGTATTTTTAAGTAGATTGTCTTTCACCTCACTAATTCTTTCTTTTCTTTTATCCATTCTGCTGTGGGTGAATTTTTATTTTTTAGCTCCACCTTTTAATTTTAAAAATTGCTTCCATTTCTTCAAGTTCCTTTGTTAGAAAATTGAAACATCCCTAAATTTTCTTCAGGTTCACCAAGTTTCTTTAAATGATGTTATCAAATTCTGTGAAAGTTCTCCCATACCAATTACTGATTGTAAACAGTCAGTTTTTGGCACTTTATTTCAGTGGGTTTTTTGTTTTGTTTTGTTTTGTTTTTTTTCCAGTACTGGGAATCGAACTCACAACCTTGTGCTTGCCAGGCAGGTGCTGTGCCACTGAGCTAAATCCTCAGCACCATTAATTGTTATGTAAACTTATGGTTTCTTGAAAGTTCTTGATCTTTGGTGTGCCACATCACCTGGGCATTGGAGGGTTAGGTATTTATTCCAGTTTTCCTAATTTGGCTTTGTTTATTCCTGTCTTTCCAGAAATTCTAAGCAGATTACTCAGTTCCTCTGACTCTGTAGCCACTTCCACTATTTCACTACTGGTTGGCTTTCAGGTCTGAGTTAGCCCGGAAATTTCTATTGATAGGTATCACTGTTTCAGCACTACAGGGTGATTCAAGCCCAGGTTTGTTCTAAATTCACAGGTGGTGTGATGTTCAGAATAAAACAGCAGAGTACCTAGACATATAGACTATGTCTACAAGCCTCTACCCAGATTCAGGGTAAGCCCAGTCACTCGTAATCAGTCACTGGAGGATTCTGCTTATCTCTGTGCAGAGTTACTTGAGATGGACCAGCCCAGTTCCTATGCCATCTCTGTGGCCATCAGTGCCACATGCTGCTCTGTACTCTGAACCCACAGCCCACCAAAGCCAGTGTAGTATAAGAAGGACCAGCTCTATGCTGCTATAGACTGTCTATTGCCGAAGTGAACTCATGGCTCATAACTTCCACAACCAGCCACAGGCGATGGTGGCTGGAACAGTAGTTCAATAAACTGAGGTCAGGTACTTTCCAGATACTCTGTTTTCAGGCTTGCCTGAGGATGAGAGCTGCTAGGATCTGGCCAGTGTCATGTTTTAATAGTCCAGCACTAAGTTTCAGGGCAAAGTCCTGAGCTTATAACCCTATCCTCCCCCTAGCAAATGTGTTACTACAAGCTATGCTGCTCAAGGCTGGGGCAGTATTGGTGAAGCCAGTTCCTTTGGCCACCTGGGTTGGTGCTAAGATGGGTTGTGTCTGAGTCTCATAGCTGCAATAACTTGCATAGTCTCAGTGGTGCATAAGGACCCATCCCAGAGATGGCTGAACCATGAGTCTGTCCCATGGGAACATACGTCTACGTCTGGTGCCAGGGAAGTTCCACAGATCCATTTGTGAGCAGTGGCCTGGTGACAGCTGTTCTGCCTGAGGTTTGAGGATGGATAGTAGAGACCATCCCTTGATTACCAATGCTGACACTAAGCTGGTACCCACAAGGTCACACTAACACAGAGACCTGCAATGTCTCAGCAGGTGAAGGATGTGCCCTAGACCCACATCAAGACCAGAAATGATACATACCAAACTCAAGTCTGACCCACATGCATGAAGGTCTCTACCTAGTGCCAGGGACAGGTCTAGAGCTTCTGTCTCTGAGCCTTGACCTGCATACAGGGTCTTTGCTTTCTCTCTGGTGCTGAGTCTCACTGCAGTGGGCCTGATGCTGAGCTGTATGCTTTAGTGTTCTGCTCCCCAGTGGGTAACATCTTGTTCCCAACAGTCTTTGCAGGTTGGAGGAGGGGTGGTGGAGGTAGATCACCACCTGGCTTAACACGGTTCCAGTAGTTTATTTGAAAATCATTGCCTTGGCATTAGCATTCATGGGTCTCTGACAGTCTTCACTGCTGAGGGCATAGGAGTAGGTTTTGAGTCTAGTGTCTGGATCAAGTCCTTCTCTCTTCCCTAAGCAAAAGTCATCTCTCTTCATGCTGAGCTGCTTAGAGCTAAGAAAGGAGTGACATGGGTACTTCTTTTATTCCTGCCCTCTCCAACACATCTTTTCCTTTTGTTACACTAAAAAGCAGACACTGTGGGTTTGTCACCTGATTTTCTTGGCTCTTGTGAAACTTGGTGTGCCTATGGGGACCCGGCTCAGAGGATCCTACTCAGCTGTCATTATAGTCTACCTCCAACAACCCAGTTCTGACAATGTCTGTCATATGCATATGTTCCACAGGAAATTTTTATGTCTTTCATCTTTGTTCACTGTGGATATTGATCTCATTCTAAAAATATTACATGTTTGTGAATGGAGTGTAGAGTCATCAGATTTACCAACTGACTTCTCGGATACTTGGGCAGACAGTTTTCAGAACAAACTTTCACAATTCCTCCTCTCTGCTTACTTTTGCAATGTGAATTTTCTCCTCCTCCCTTACAGAGGTGGGGGTCTACTTTCCAATTCCCTTACTCTAGAGTCTGGGATGACCTGCGACTTGCTTTGATTAGTGGAATGTAAGTGCAATGAGCTATGTGATTTTTTAAGACTTGGCTTAAGCGGCGTACACATTCACCATTTTGAAATACTCCTGCTACCATTTAAAGAAGCTGGGGAAAGACCATTAGAGGATGAACAACTACAAGGAGAGAGTGGCCCAGTCAATAGCCAAACCCAACCATATGGCTGGATTCCCAGGACTTTGGCCTTTCTGCTTCAGTGATACACTGTATCATGAAAATGTATCTTTTCAGTAAATATTATACTGTAATTTTATAATATGCATGCAATCGCGCTGTACTCTGTGAATAGATTCTGACCTTAATGAACTCAAGGTCTAATGATTAGGCATTGTGAAAACTGATCAAAAGAAAATCAAAACTTACCCAATGCAACACATCCACCAATTCCAAGGAGTGCTGCTGAGCTGTGATACAGAGGAAGGGTTATATAAACAACGTCGTCAGCAGTACAACCAAAAGCCCACAGTCCAGCGGAGCCCTTCAGGACCTGCAACTGACTAATCACCGCAGCTTTTGGTAAACCTGGAAGACAAGGAAAAGGAATGAAAAGGGTGTGCACGTATACACACACACACACACACACACACACACACAGAGTGAAGAACAGGAGTTCTCTGAAGTCATTTCTACATTAAAAATGTGACAGATTATTTGACTTTGGCCAAGCAGAACATCATGATTATGGAGCAACTGAATGCTGCAAATGGAAAGCTAAAATTTTCTTGCAATACCTTGGACTGTAGCCATTTACCTCTATGTTTTGTATCTGACCTAACATTCTTACGTGTATTGGCTGAACCTCTCAGAACATACCAATCTCCAGCATCTATAAACCCTATAGCTAAGAATATTTTAAGACAACTTCTGAAAACTGTAGAAAAGATTGCCCCATTTTGTTGTATGTAGCCTACCTAATGCCCTCACCAATGTATTTGCTGAATTTGTTGATCTATTTGTTTTGTGGCTATAAAAGTTCGTGTAACCTCATCAACAGGGAAATGCATCATTCAGAGCAACTCGAATAGAAATTCCCAGGCTCCAATAGCACTCATGTTCACTATTTCTTATTCTTTGAGGGCAGAGTTATTATTTTGTCTTGATTATAAACTTATATACATGTAATAGAATGAAAAACTTCACTGCTATCAACTCATAGCAACTGGGACAAAAATACAACAAAGTATGCTATAGACTTTATAAAAGGGACCATACCAATATGATTTGCTGCTGTAATTAATTTCTAGAATTTAGGTCTACCCAGAAAGACCACATTATAAAATTACATAAAATTTGAGATACTGTCATTTTCAAAGACCCATATGTGTTATAAAAATGAGGAAAAGGTCAAAATCTGAAATAGCATACCTTAAATGAAACAAATTACGACATTAGTCTAAATTATATTTAGAGTAGAAGTTTTCTAGAGCAGCTCCAGTGTGAAGCAGGACTCCTCATTTATGAGCCATTTCATCTGTCATGGTCACCATGTCCTAGAAGATGATCATCATGGTCACCATGCCCTAGAAGATGATCATTATGGGATACCAAGCTGCATGACATATAATGTTGAAGTCGTACAATATGTTCATAACCCAAATGTAATTTTTCTTTCTCCTTCTAGTTTTCCATATATAATTAGTTTCTTATAAAATTTATATCCATTTTTGTGTATAAAAAATTTATATACTGCTTTTGTTATCTGGTATTTGTAGGACATATATTTTCCATATTCTTATAGACATTTCCATATTTATAATGAGGGCAAAACACATTCATCCAGGTAACATATAATTTAATAGGTTGATGCATATGAGCCTGTCTTGGTTATGGTTGAATATTGGCAATTTTATATGTTTCAACTTAACTTATCATGGAACATAGCTAGTCTATTCTCGTCTATTCCTCTTTAATTACATTGCAAGATTTACTTGTACTATAATCACACTTTGCCTATCAGTTCAAAGGGTCTTAACATTTTAGAACGGTTTCATGTGAAGCCGGCATCAGGGACAGAGCAGAGTTGAGCATTCATAAGCACAGGCCCTGCACTTAATCTCAAGCACCACAAAAATAAACAAATGTATCTCATCAACAAAGCTGTCTTATAAAAGTGCTTTTGTGATGAAAGATCAGTACACTTCCTGGAGGCAAGCATATCAGAGAAGTCATAGAAAGCAAACAAATGAAAAATCAGTAATAAAGTCACAGACCACTGAAGATTAAGTGTTATGTTTTTCTGTACGCTCTGTACTGATATAGTCCAAGTTAGCAATCTGTAGAAGTGGAGTTGCTAATGTCACTGTGAATTTGAGGTACTTGAAGTGACTTTCCTTTCCAGTTCTAGAGATTAAGTGCTAAGGCTTAAAATGTGTTTCTCAAACTTGGATAGTTCTTCATTATTGTCTGTTTGTGTAGGATTAGAGTCCTACATTAAAATACTCCCACGTCTAGCATCCCAATTCTATAGCCAAAATTCCTTACTGCTTACTACATGCTTCTCTGAATATACCCTAGTCATATGTAATCCTCTGTTGCTGATACTTCCTGATGGATTTTCTTCCCACTTTTCATTTGTCCAATTGGCTCAAACTTCTTACATAGTGCTTCCCTTTGCCAACTGATTTTGACCCATATACGTGTAGCTATGTCAATCTGCCAACATAGACCTAAATAGGTAATAAGCTTTATCTATCCTATAGAAAATGAACTCTGATTTTGCTCTTATGGGCCTTATCTGTTTTTTCCTCAATTATTTATTTTTATTAGTACATATTTGAAGTACATAATGATTACAGTCACCATGGGGAGTGGATACACTTACATAACACATCTCAATTCTTCTTTCATCTCTCTTCAATGTTCCTCCTCAAATTCAAATGAGACTAGGTCTACCCTTGATTGTTGAGAATGCTATGCCTTTCTGTGTTTTATTCAGAGAAGAAATGCTTTTTCTGCTGCAGGGAAGTTCCCTCCCACAGTTCTTCAGTTATCACATCCCTGGCTCCACCCAGTGTCCCTTGATCTCGTGGCAGCCACCCAACTCTTAATCAAAAGTTTTCACTTGGAGACCTATCAAGAAAAGAGGGCTGTTGTATCTACTGGCTCTCCTATGTGCTCCTCTCAGCCCTTCGAGGTGCTTTAATAAACTTATGAGGTACGTTTCCCTTTCCGTCTGGTTGCCTTCAGTGAGTGATGGTCACCTTTGTGTGCTGTAAGAGGTACGAGGTACAAGGTAGATTTTTCTCATAGAATAGACAACAGGTGTGCACTTACCCAACAAGTAAAAGTGATGAAACATGATGGGTTTAAGATTTGAAAGAAAAGAAACAGGAGAATAAATTGTGTTTGGTAAAAGTGTATCTCTAAGATCCCCCTTAAAAGATTTACAAAGCATATTAACACAATGAATATTTGAAAAGGTCAAACAGTACAGAAGCCTTGTTATTTATATCAATGGACCTTCTACAATTTATATGGCGATAAACCCTTTTTTCAATTTTTATCTCATTCCTTTGAAGAAATTTACTTGAGAAATGCTCTCTTAGATGATCTTGAGTTTTTAGTTCTTTTAATGTTTTATGATTTCCCAGCACTGGAGCACTCCCGGCATTCCTTCATATGAGTAAATTGTGGGAATAGGGATGAGGGAGCAAGGTGGGGCATGGACGCATCCAGGGGATTGGAGGTTAGGAGGAATATCAGGAAAGAGAGATTATGCTAAGGGAAATGCAGTTCAGGCCGTTTTCAGAGTTATTTTGTAAATCTGGTATAATATTGAAAAAAGAAGAAATCCATAAAAAGGGGAAGTCAAAATAAAAGGAGATCTTTCAGTGATGACATTAACTGGCTCCTGGAACATCACACCAGGCAGAGACATTATTTTCTTCCTTCTCCTTGTAGCAATGGTCGGATGTGCAGCTGCTGTGTCTGGGCTCAGATAGTCTCTCCTGGAGATCCTTGAGGCAACCTAAACCTAAACGAGTCTAACTAGTCATGACGGGGTGGGATGTTGGCAAACTGGACACAGTCCCAGTCCCATAGGACAGAAAGGGGAGACTGGAGATGCAGCCGCAAAGTCTTCTGAAGGAGGTGAGGGAGTGTGGTGAGTTACGCAGCACACCCAAGAAGCTGAAACTTGGAGAAAGCTGAGTTGTGCCCCCAGAAATAGGCTCAGCAATGTGGTTTCCAGAAACCTCAAAGAGTAGAAGATAATGTAGAACTATAAATTGGGAGCTTCATGGGGAGTTGTGCTTAAGAAATAGTTGTACCCCTGGAGTCCTTCCTCACTCCTGGTGGAAGACCTAACCTTTATTCTCTGGAATAAATAAATATCTGGAAATATCAGGAAGAAAAGACATTGAAAAGCCAGGGCAATAAGGTACAGTCTATGTATTCTCTAGTTCCCCCTTCAACACTTCATTCTTCTACTGTTCAAGAGTCCCGTCTGAAGAATCTGAATAGCTGTCAAGTAAAGACTGAAAGGCACTGATAGAAATCATCCAACCAAATGTTCTGGACAATAAAACCAACTAGTGTGTAAGTCCTACTCAACCACACAAATCTTCTAGTTATAATTTTATTTGTGTTGCACTTATGGTTTATACTTTTTTTTGTTTGTTTGTTTTACACTTTTAAATATTAACTGACACTCAAAGTTTACCAGATCTTTGAAAAAGTTCTCTACCATCAAAGATAGAGACCAAAATAAACCAAAAAAATAAAAAGTATGTTAGAGAAAATAGACAAAGTAGAGAGGATAAATTTTCACAGAAGGCATTATTGTTAATACTCTGAAAGATATGAGACAATAAAGTACCAAGAATGCAAAATATACTTCCAAAAGATTACTCAAACAACATGCAAGTTGGAAGGTAAATCTTTCAAAAAGTAACTCAAAGGACAGGAGATTAAAAATATAAAAGGTTAGGAAATTATGGACTCAGTGCTAAAGAGCTAATCTTTAAAAATGTTACAGTTCCAGAGCAGAGACTGGAAGGGCACCTGGGGGTGGGGAGACATGGGAGGAAAGCAAAAAAGGAGGACAAGAAAAGAATCAAGATGTGATATGTGTATGTATCAGTTCCCCCACCATGAGCCTATTTACTATGTATTGCAAGCATACACTAAGAAAAATAAATTTAAAAAGTGAACAAACAAGCAAATGTAACAGGGAATGAAATAAAGATGGAAAGAGAAAGGGATATAGAAAAAAATTTAATGTAAACAATTACCTACTACTATACAACACGAGTTTCTAGACTAAAAAGGCTTACAAGTTTCTCAGAACAATGGAAAAATAAAAGCAATCTCCGTACAAGACATCGTGCTATTATAATTACTGAAGTCTCATAAATGATTCTAAAATTTCAAAAAGTGGGGGAAGGAATCCATATTGCATAAAGGAGAAGAAATTAGAAAGTAAAAAGTCTTCTCAGTCTATATAGTGGAAACCTAAAGATAATAGAGCATGCCTTCAAAATCCCACACAAAAATAACTTCTAACTTACAGTTGTATAAACTGTCATTCACATGTAAAGAAAGAAAAGACATTTTCAGACTTGTGAAAACTTAAAAAATTATTTTCCATAGAGTATTTATCATATTTCTAGTGAAAGCAATGCACTGACAAAAAGCCAACCAATTTAGAATTTAGAAATTAGAGGATTAAAAAAAGTATTGAAGGAAATTCCCAAAATGACAGTAACTAATGGACCCTAACAGCGAGAGAGCAACTGGTCAGGCTGAAACAGTACAAAGGAAGTTTCCGGTTAAGAATTTGAGAAGATAGGCTTGTCAAAATATGCTCTACTGTGTCAATATCTGAAGGTAGTTCCATTTTTGAAAAAGTGAGTGCTATAAATTTGTTTAATGTAGTTGATACCTTGGTATCTATTTTTAGGCCCCATATAAGCTGTTTGAAATCCATTTGCACGTGCAATCCTTTAGCATAGTAAAACTTGCTCTCCCCATGGAATTGTGATGTAGTCAGTAATTCCTCATCCCACTGGCCCAAATCCCAACAAATCACAGTTACTGATAATGCTAAAGGAAAGGTCCATATCAGACTTAGGCAGATAAGCTCTTCCTTTATCAGTGTGTTTGTTTGTTTGTTCACTTTTAATCTAAACAGTCCATAACCTCCAGACAATAGCTTCAAGGATAATTCCCATGGACCTTAACAAAGGTCTACAAAAGCCTATTTAGTCTACCATTAATATTATTCAATTTTTTCTTAAAAAATAATGAAGTTGAACATTTCTTTTGAATTCGTAAGTAGCTTCATTATACTTTCTTATTACTTTGGTTGCTTATCAAGACAAGAACAAAGAAAGAAATTTTAATTATTTGATTTATTTTGTATTTGCTCTCAAACCTGCAATGCTCTGGAGACTTCTTTTAGTCTCATGATCCAATTACTCAAGGAACACTGGGAGAGGTTGGTCACTTGTACTTACATTGCAACTCTAGGTACATTTAGGATATAACATTTTACACAGTCATGAAGAGAACTGTTTTCAGGTAGATTATCAAGTCTTTAAGTTTCTAAATACAGTATAATTAGCATTTAAACTAATCTTTTCCTTTTAGATCTAAGGTACCTGAGGATCAGAAAAGCCAGCAAACATATTGCCAAAGAAGCCGACCAAGTACCAGACATGGAGCAAACAGACTGGGAGGCTGGTGCCGATCAAGATCGTCAGACATTCCCGAGCTTTTTGTTCAACCAAACTTTAAGAAAACCTAATCGAACATGGTGACTGGCCAAAGTCAACACAGTTACCTTTTAAAAGTCAAAGTAATTAATCTTTCATTCAAGTTTGAAAATTCTAGGATCTGAGAATTCAGGTCTTCTTGCTTGTATGCTTTCTAGGATGTTTTAGTCACTATCAACATAAACTATGTGGCATTCCCTTTATGCCTTAAAAGAAATTGGAACGTACCTGTTGTTCCAGATGTAAATATATAAAGACAAGTGGATGTGAGGCTTGAGACAGCATGATGACTGTGGGGCACAGGCTCATCAGATGATGTGCTGAGTTTTTGTTTGAGTGAAATTATTCCTTGTGGAACAGAATCTTTCAGCCCCCAAACACTGACATCTTTGGGGAGGCTGGCAAGGATTTCTTCTACAGTTCCAAGCAAATCTGAAAGGAAGGATTAGAAAAGGGTAAACAAAGTTTAAACCTCTAACCACTCATCCTGAATTTGCTTTTGTGTTTTGGAATAGAGACAAAATGTAAATGACATGTTGACTTCCTTTCCATACTGGATGAGTAATGGCACAACTCCTTTATGGTTCTGTTTCAGCAGAACTGAGGAAAGGGAATTTGGTTACCACCTCACTGAACAATGTGCGTAGACCAATTCAGATGGAATTTTGGAGATTCTAGTATCCAGATGATGGATTTTCTAATTCCTAAATAAAGTCATTTATTATATTCTCTTTCCTTGAAATACAACTTTGTAGCCAGTGGTTCCAAAAAGCCACGAGTCTCACTGTGCAGTTCTACCATAATGAAATGCATGTGGGAAAAATCCCCTGACATTTCTGGAATCGCAATATCATTGTGGTTTAAAGAGTTTGGAGCCAAAAGCTAAGTGAGGAGATTTAGAGAAGTCTTTTTTCTCTGCACCATCATATTTCAAGATAAAAGCCTTTGACAGCCCAGGGGGAAAAGAGCACCTTCAGAAAAGGCAACAGGACGCTCCATACAGGGCAGGGGGTGACAGTGGCTGTGAGAGTGGCTGAGAAGCATGGAACCTCCAGCAGCAGGAGGAGCCACAGCTTCCAGCAGAAGCAAGCTCAAGTGGAAAAGAAGGAAGCACAGAAAAGCCAGAAGAATTGGGCTCTTTAGTTTTTGGAATTTGAAAACATCAAGGTTCAGAGTTGAAATTCATGTTCAGGAAGGGAAAGGGATACTTTTCTCAGAAAGTATCTGCTGCCAGGGGAACAAAAAAGCATTCTTTGATGTGGAACTCTGTTGAGTTATTCTGAGAGACTGAACTAGATCTCCATTATTTGGCCATTAAATCTCCATTATTTGGCCAAGGTAGAAGAAAACGTTATCTACTTATGAGGGTTAGCAAAAATAATTTTTTTTTTTTAAAAAAAGGTGACAATGAGTGCCTATTGATGAAATATTTATATTAGGGTGCTATCAACTGGTGGGATACAAAAGAAACAAAAAGCTATTGTTCTGGTAAAGCCTTTTGTGTAATGAGTGAAGCATATATACTTTTTCCAGAAGAGAGAGATAAAATTGTCTATATGCTTTATATTATTTTTAAACATAACACTTTCTGTATTGCAAATCTTTTACACTGGAGTTCAACTTTGATATTCTACATGCCTGCTCTAGTTTCATATCCATATTCCTATCATATGCTAGTTTACTTATCTTTTTAAAAACTACTCTAACATCTTGGGGATAATAAATGATAGCACTCACCGGCTTTTGGATTTAATGGAAAGAAAGTCAGAGATAACTGGCAACCTCCAGAAGCAAGAAATGGCATGGAAAGATACCTCTTTATATCCTTTAGAGAGAGCACTGCCATGCTGATGCTTACATGTTGGACTTCTAATCCCAGAATGGAGAGCACATTTCCTTTGTTTAAGTGTCTTAGTCTTTGATGCTTTATTATTGCAGCTCTAGGAAGCTAATACCCTATGATTAAAAAGTTGGTTGAATGCTAATCTGACCAAACTCTATTGAACTTTAAAACTACACTTGATCTCATAATTTGTAACACTACCAAATGTACAGCAGACTTAACAGAATTCTCAATACATGCAAATAAGATCCTTTAAGTCTAAAGCAATTATTTTTTTCTATTTTTTAATTAAAACTTTAAAATAATAATAATAATAATAATAATAATAAGCTATACATCGCTTTGAATCTGAATTTGGAGTATCGCACTAAACATTTTTCCAGAAGCATAAATCATTTTCTGGTTATCTCAAAAAGCCATCTGTTACTCACTAATTAGTTCTTTAATAATGCATGCATTTGGTGAAAACTCATGATTCACTTCATAAAAATCTATAATTCAGATTAATTACAAAAAATCAACAAGAGAAAAATATCAAATGTGAATAGGTAGTTCTCAAGTAAAACCTGTAAGATACTAGAAGGAAACACAGAAAAGATAGAGTTAATATACGACAGGGGTTTGAGGGGGATTTGGAACTTAAAATGTCTACTAATTTTTATTTCTAAAACAAGTTCAAATAAAACAAAATTTAAGAATCCAGAGAAAATACTTTCTTTGACTTAGCAGACCCACCATCTGCCATACACATACTGTTTTGAAAAGAAGAAGTGAAAACCCACAGGAAAGCTAAAAGGAAAGACAACTCGTAAGCACGTGAAAAGCAGCACAAAGGATTTAGATTGTTCTATAATGTTCTACATTTTGTTTCAACAGCTTCTTTTGCCTTTTGAACTTCTAAGGACAAGGCTCTGAACTGATTCTTTTTATTTAACTTAATTTCAAATCTGTCATCTGAAATTACAAATTAAAGACAAAATTGTATGTGTTCTCAATAATCTGTATGCCTAAATTTGGGGAAAAAAAACAAAAAAGTTACAATAAGATTGTGACTTTATGTCTTAGTTGCAATTGTAGAGTCTAAGAAACACTAGGGATTTTGGAGGAATGATGATGTTTACCTAAAAAAGGAAGTGAGCAGAAATCAGAAGAAATAAAATTTCATTCCCCCCCAAAAAAAGAAATAAAATTTCATTTCTTAAAAATTGAGTCAGTTTAATTAATTCTCAAATGGAATTTTTCCTAACCAGATCATTTATTCATCAGTGGTGGGAAATATGGGAAAGAGTAGTGAAAACTGAAATAAAGTTGAAATATCACGCAGGGGAAAAAGAAAACTACTTACTTTTCACTGGCAATCTTAGCAAAAAAGAAAAAAAAGGTTTTGTTCATTTTGAAAGAGGATTAGGAATACTAAGTTATGATACTGAATAACACAATTAAATTCTTCAAGAATTTTGGCTCTGTTTCATACAGATTTACTTCTGAGTGAAACATCCTACCGCGGAGGCCTGTAGCAATGTAAGGAACCTGTAAGGCCTGTATATGCCACACGCCATCCATCAGCTCCTTGAGCATGACACACACACACAGTGCATGAGGCATAGCTACCTGGCTGAAGGAACTGAACTCTGCACCACGGGACACACCACAGATCCAGGTGTTGACAGTAACCTACTACCAGAAAACAAATGGCTAGACTTCCTATGACTATTCCTGTCTACACTGCAGGAGAAGGCTCAGGGTCCCTTTTAAAAGTGACATGTTCTTTCAAAAAATTTATGCTTTTCCCCATACGCAAAACAGCTAGATGGGGTTACAAGCACCATTACAGGCAAATTATCACCCTCTAGGATACTTTAGCACTTTTTGTAAAAACTGATTTCTTGTTTCTCTATCATTAATTTTGCCTACTCACATTTCTAAAACTGTAAAATCAACAAGTAAAAATTTCACATATCCTTCTAATATGTCATTAACCTGAGTTATACTATTCATTCTGCATTGAAAACATTATATTATCTTATGCTATGTAAAACAAACTAATATTTTCAAAGGTATAGGAAGGGAATCAATTAAATGTGGCTTTTGATACTCTGGTAAGTATTTCAAGTTGAACCTATTATGCAGGGCTAGGGTACAGCTCAATAGTAGAACTTGTGCTAACATGTGAGGCCCTGGGTTTGATCAACAGCAAACACAAAGCAAACACAAAGCCCCAGAATTTTGTGCATTAACAAGCCTAATATGAAAAGCAATTATAAGTGGTGAACTTGAGATTCCCAAAATATAAAATAATATTCACAAAATATACAAAGTGGAATTATAGATTTCATTACATACACATAACTATCACTTCTTATGGAGAATGACACAACAAGTGTGCCATAGCATACAGGGGTATGCTAAGGTTTCTAAGAAAACTAATACTTACAAAATCTCCTGAAGCAATGCATATTGATGTATAGATCTTAATCCTTCATACAAGCCTCCAAAACTCACTTCGGCATAAATGATGTGCCAATTCATTTTATAAGTAACGCTTTATTAATAATCAAGATAATTCTAGGAAACATATGTTATCTCTCTTTTAAAGAGATTAAACATGAGATTTGAAGGCCATTGAAGGTTAAGAAAGTTGTCTGACCTGCCTAAGTTAATGAATGATAGAATTTTAGTGTAATTCAGGTATATTGGGCTACAAAATCTGTTCCCTAAAGTTTTAAGACCTCTTATCTCAGTCACTGTTTTGTCACTGGGACACAAAACCCAATATCCCCCATTTAAAGTAAGAAAGTTTTATTATGACCCTGCATATTTTAGAGGTTTCAGTGCACAACTGGGTGACTTCAAGGCAGGAAAGAATAGTGAAGGGATCTGGCAGAGGAAAAGTGGCTTATGTCACGGTGATCAGGAAGCACAGGCAGAATGGAGAAGCCAGGGAGGGAGACTGACCATTCAAGGTCATGGCCCAGATGCCCCGCCTCCTCTGACCTGGTCTCCATCTCCTAAGAGCAAAGCACTTGTAGTGTTCCCACAACTTATTCAACTACCAGAAGCTCCACCTATGAGAGCATGAGGCTTGTGGGAGACACTCTGGATCCCAACCATAAAACCTATATTGCCATAATTATTTTTAAAAGCAGTTTTCTCGATACGATTTATTGAATAGTTCCCTCTTTTTCCACTCATAGGTTGTAGGTCTGTCATTCTGCTGTACTCAGTTCTCTATTTGGTCTTGTGATCATCCTACACATTTCATTTAAAATCAGTTGCTTTCTTTTAGAGCAGAAATAATCCTTGATTGACCTAAATCTAAGGTGAAAAAATGCAAAACTGCCATCTTAATAAATATAAGTAAAAAATGATTAAGCATTGTGAAATAGATATATGTAAGGACTATATATTATAGTCCATGGATAAGGTAATAAAAAGTTCCCAGGAGGCATTTACGTATCTCAACACAGATCACTTTCTATAAAACTTAGTGTTTTTATTTTTGCAACCTTTCCTTTTGATCTTTAAAAAGCAGTTGCCTTTATGGCTGAAAGTCATTTGGAGACTTACAATGGCCCATTGTTAACCAGAACGGCTGACCTGCAGTCTGAGTGCAAACGCTCAGGAAAAGTAACAGCTTCATGCATTATTGTGTGTACAGAGAGAAGATAGAAGGTTTGATTCCTTGTGAAGAGAAACCTAAAATCCCTAAAGTAGGGTCAGACATAAAATATTATTAAACCTAGCGAGATGAAGTGACATGAACCTGTAATCCCAGCCCTTTAAGAGCCTGAGGTGGAAGGATCACAGGTTTGAGCCCAGCCTGGGCAACTTAGTGAGTTAGTGAGAACTTGTTTAAAAAAAAGTTCTTTAAAAAATATCTGGAATGTAGCTAACTGCAAAGGCTCTGAGTTCAATCCTCAGTATTGGAAAAACTAAAATAAAAGAGATTAGGGTAATAATAATTTATAAAGTTTAGTTATCTGTTATTGATTATAACTATTTAATATATGATACACTGAGAAATGTGAGAAAACAAAATATATACACATAGGTAAATCTGAGATCATGTAGATGAATTTTGCATCTAAAGTACTTTCATCCATTGGAAGTAGTAATTCTAATGTTTAGCAACACTGACTACAAATAACACTATGAATAAATCCTGGCCATGTCTGTAGCCTGAAAACCAGTTAGCAAATTGAGAAGGGAGTGTAGAATGTGTTACCAAAGTTATACAAGTCAACTAAAACTTACCAACTGCTTACTGCACCTCATTGCTTTTATTCAATTATTCATCTATCCATTCATCCAAACAGTAGATGTATTGAACATCTTTGCACTATCTCCTGAGAATCTGGTAATTAATAAAGCAAATTTCTTCAGCCCAAAGAGCTACAACCTCATTCTTAAATGATTCTTCAAGGGTACACCAATATCTGTTTGCCAATTGGCTAAGGAAATTAGGATTTAATTGGGTCACAGCACTCCTGAGGCATTAAGACTCTGTGGAAAAGGGGCTAAGAGAGGGGAGGTAGATAGACAGGAGATGAGAAAGAAGAGTAGGGAAGCCAGAAGAGGGAGATGAGGAAAAGAATAAGAGGAAAAAGAACCAAGACAACGGTCAGTTCTGCTGGCTTTTTAGATTTAGTATAAAATAACCTGGACTCCAGTCCCACAGTGCCTGGCCTAGATTCATGAGGTTGGTAGATCACTTGCCCACTGTCACTGCTCTTCCTTCATCCTTAAAAGGTTAACATTGAACTCTCCTGACCGTGGTGAGGACCACAGAAAACTAACATGGAGGGGCCGGGGATACAGCTCAGTAGCACGGCATCTGCCTGGAAAGTATGAGGCCCAGTGTTCAATTTCTGGTACATAAAGAAAAAAAAAAAAACCCATGTAAAACTACTGTATAATCTACAAATTATTTTGAAATGGAAGAGGTTATTATTTGCTATCAGCATCATCATTATTATGGATAAACATGTCAAATAATATGGAGATAATTATATGTAAGTTTTAAATGATATACAAGCAGAGTCTAAACTCAGAGGACAGATTTAGAGTGTGGGTTCTGCAATTTACTAAGCTGAGTTACCTTAAACAAAGTCTTAAACACACACATCAGTCTCCACACTGTAGCACTGTACTTGAGAATGCCTTGCTCATCGTCAGATTAACCAGTAAGTGACAACTGCTGAGAGTTTTACAAATTACAATGGCAAGAATAACATTTCTATTATTCTGATAGCTTAGCTGATGCCTCTCCTTTGCTTAGTTCTGAAAACGTCACCTGATGCCAGCGATGACAGACACCTCACCTACCATCAAGCATATTTTCTGGGCTGGCTTGCAAAACTTGTTTAAAATTGAAAAATATAATTTTTCTAATCATAATGTGTTCCGGGTTTTATTCCAAATGATTGTGTACTAGTTTTCTTATAGCTGTCACCAAATTAGATGGCAGCAGCAAAATGAGACCCCTTATCAAAACCCTCAGCACGACTTTATAATCATAACAGGGTTACTTTAATTCACTAAGGATCTAGTTAGTGTGCACCAGGCACTTGGCCACTTTACAAAAGCTACAGTTATTGAATCCTGAGAATTACCTTGGGAATTAGATGGTATGATCACCATTTTATGACTTAGTAGAGTGACACAGAGGCCTAGTACCATAAACTAAAAATAGCATTACCAGTTAAGAAGTTGCAAACCATACATTAAATTTAGGTCCCTCTGGTTTATCTCTGCCTCAATCACTTGATTCCTCTTCCCATCTTCACACACTGTCCTTGGGGAGACAATGATTTCCTGGTACATCTCTGTCAGAAATATTCAGAATGAATCTGAGAAGTTTGAGCCAGGCCTGCTCAAGGGCTGTAATCCCACCACTGGAGAGGCCACGGCAGGAGCATCATACATTGGAGACATACCTGGGAACCTTAATGAGACTCTGTCTCAAAAGATAAAAATATGTAATTAAGAAAAAGGTTGGGGACATAGCTCAATCCAAACTCCCTGGGTTCAATCCTCAATAATACCAACACAAATCTTATTCATTAATCAATATAAAGTTGTTCCACCCTTGAAAAATATATGTAATTCAAGTTTCAGAGATAAAAAGAATGATTAGGATGATTTCAATTTGATGTCTCAAGTGATTTATTTACTGAATAAATTTGCTAAATAGTTTTTGCTTAAAACTCCAGTTTAAAAAAAAACTTGCTATTTTTTGAAAAAAAAAAAGCAAACACTGCAATTAATTATTGGCAAGCACAGCTAAAGCTGGCACAAAAGAACTGCAGAATTATTTGGACCTAATTAAGCAATAATTCAGATAACAGAAGAGTTTGAAATCTCCATTTTGAGAGGTAACCAGCCCAAGGCACTTTAAAAGGAACTGCTCAGATTTTAAGGTGTTTCTCAGACTGGCTTCAACATCATGGCCACAAAGACATTCCCAGGGGTACTGTGAGCCATTTCAGTTTGCCCTTCTAAAGAGAATTTATGGTTTTACCACTTTTAGCATAATTTGTGTTTTACGTTCACTATAATAGCTCAGCAATCTAATTGGGCTGAATAGTTGTGAAAAATATCAGAGTATCCTCAGATGAATTTTGATCATTTTTCCACTGCATTTACATTTGCATTCATTAATAAACATTGTTTTATCATATTATTAAAATTCTATATGACTCATTGGTTCTACTTAATGCTACAAATCACTGAAAATTAAATATTCTAGTTAGCCTGTTCCCAAAGAGAAAAGTTTAGTCTTCGAAGACAGAAGTGAAAACATGAATAAACAATAAACATGGGGCACTTTCTGACTTCTCTTCCTTTAGCTCTAACAAAGGTGAAATCAGTACTTGAGAGTAAGCATTTTCCCACTCTATCAGGCCACAACTTGCGCTGAAAGGACAGGGGCAGCAATGGGTTACAGCGTGAAGAGTCACCCTTTTCTCTACGTTGCCTGTTTCATGTGCAAAAGTGCCAAGGTGGGAAGCCTAGCCTTGCTCGGGCGAATCTGAGCTTGCAGACAGGATAAAATTAAGAGCAGATATAAAGATTAGAATCCGTGCACTTTGGATTAAAAACATCTTGGCTGGAAATGCGGCCATCCTTGCTAATGATACTGCTATTAGAGGAATGCAGGTATTCCGCATTGATGTCACGATTACTCTCATTCATCAAACACTTGTTAGAGCTGACCAAGTTTTCTCACTCTATTTTCACACTGACTGCTGATGCCAGTAGCAGGAAAATCTCTCTCCTCTCCAAATGGTAGGAAGCTGAGATTTCATGGAAGTTTTCTGCAACTATCCTGATATTACTAACCTCCTGCAGAGCCCGTGACTAAACATAGGTGGGACATTGTAAAGCACTGGCCATAGAACTGTAAAACTATTCTCTGTCCTTAATATTCTTAATCACACACCTCACAGTATGGTATGCACTATTCTAAGTAAGAACTAAGGCGGAAAAACAAGTCATTTCCCATCCTGCAGGAGCGGACCACACCCATACCCTACCTGCGCCCACCACGAGGGCCCTGGGCTCGCAGGTGCGGATGCAGTGCAGCAGCGAGTGCGCGCGGACGTTGGAGTTGAGGAAGGCCACCACGCAGCCCAACTTAGCGAGGCCAAACCACACGTGCACAAAGTCGGGCTCGTTGCTCATCAGCAAAGCCACGACGTCCCCCTTTTTCAGAGAGGAATGGCTCAGGAAGGCACGGGCCACTCGGTTGCTCCTTTTGTCCACGTCCTGGTAGGTGTAGACCTGTCCCTCGTGAATGATGAAGGGCTTCCGGGGCTGCCTCTTGGTGTGCCTCAGGAATTTCTCCAGCACAGTGTCCAGCCGTCCTCTCCGTTTGCACATCTCCACCTGAAGCCCATAGCTTACCACCTTGAGCAGGAACCAGAAGTCGTCCCAGAAGTAAGGGAGCAGAAGCCTCTGCAGGAAGTGCAGCAGCACGAGGCCAGTCCCGAGGCCAGCGAGCCAGGACAGGAGCATGGGAGCCGCCGGGCAGGGCAGCCCTGACCCCCGCTCCGCCGGCCAGGGCCCTTCTCCTCCTCCGGGGACCCAGACCCCTGCGCGGCCGGCACCTGCTGTCCGGGTCAGCCTCCCCTGAGGGACCTGGGACGGGGTCGGGGTTGGCGCCCAGATCTGCGCACCGGCCTCTGCCCGGGCGGCGCGTTGGGTCCGGGGAGCCTATGACCCGAGCAAAGCCCGGCGCCCTCCGGGCAGCGGCTCCGGGCAGACGCGCTCCTCCCACGCGACCCTGCTGTGAAGTCTCGGACTCCACACTGAGCTCCAGGCGAGAGGCGCTTGGCTTCCTGTCCCCACCCGCGGCACCACGCGGGGTCGCCGGCCACGCCTCGCGGCGCCCCCAAACCCTGGGGCCGGGGCTCTGCAGCGCCCCCTCTGCCCGGCTGCGCGGCACGGCCCGGGAGCGGCTCCCGCTGTCCGGAGCTGTCCCGCTCCCTCCGCGGCTCCCCTGCGCTCCTTGGGCGGCGCAGAGTCCTCGGACGCGGCCGGAGGTCGCGCCTGTCCCCTGCCTCCGAGATCCTCCTGATCGCAGCCTGGCAGCGAGGCAGACGGAGCAACCCGGCAGCCCTGACTCAGCTCCTTGGGGCAAACGCTGGCCCTGGAATCCCGGGGACCAGAGCCACGGCTAAGCTGCTGGAGGATAGGACCGCCCCGTCCAGGGAGAGACCGAGGGCCGGAACAGGGGAGCCGGGCAGCTGGAATCGGGCTGGGGCTGCGAGCTGCCAGGTCAGGCTGATGAGGAAGAGAGGTGCGCAAGAGGTCAAAGAATCAAGAAGCTGTGGGGACTAAACTAGGGCTTGGACAAATGAATGATAAACAAAATTGCCCCCTCAGCCCACCTGGGGGAGGGGCAGAAAATACTCTCACTTGGATACTGCAAGCATGGTATGTGGTGAGAAAGGAAAATCTGCTGTCTATTCATGAAGTACTTCATTTTTTTTTCTTCTTCTACAACCAATATCTTTTAAACAGGTCGGGGTCTACATTTATATTGGAACTCTACTTTTAAGAGTGCCCAGAAGGTGCTTCTAACAAAAGTTCTTCCCGAAAGTTGATTTGAAAGCTTAAGTCTATATTCAGATCCACATTCAAAAAGCAAAACCAAAAGTACAAAACGTTGCCTATTTTCTACCTTTTCTGAAAGTTTAGAGAATTATCAAAACTTCAAACTGAAGCCTTTAGGGGGGACTTGGAACGGACAAAAGACAAATATATAGAATAAAGTTTAATGTAAAGGTGACATTTTTCTAAAGATAAAGCACTGAGAAGTATTTAATTACATGTTTTTCTAGCAAACACGGTCAAGCTAGCTCTCCACTTTTAAATGTATATAAATGGTTGACTGCATTTATTGATATAAACAGTACCCCACATTGTCAGGCTACACATGTTGCAGACTGTAGCTGACTTCTAGCTAATCTCCAGTTCCCAAAGAAAAGATAAAAAAAAGAAAAAACCCTGCTAACTCTAAAGAACAGATTCTGATAAATTAACCTAATTTATTTGAAGTCATTAAATTAAGGTTAAAGGTCTCTTATGCTGATGAAGAAAATGCTTTCTAACTTTACTCAGAAATTCTGATCTTCTCAGTTCACAAATCTATAACAAAAGTATTTGTATCAAACATTTTTGCAATTTAAAAAGGATCTTTGAAACTGGTTTTCTTTACAAATCTGCTCTTACTTAGCAGCTTATTAGAAAACATTTTCGTCATAGAATAGAATATAGAACAGTTAGTCTCAGATGTTTGGATACACAACATAAGTAAAATCTGTCTTACCCCAGTGGGAAAAATACAGAACAGGAAAACTAGGCTTGCTAAATTAAAAACATAAAGTAAACATTACAACAATTATCAATTATGTTTTTAATAAATTCTTCACTATTTCTTCAAAAAGGAAGAATTTACTTCAACGTTAAAAAGAATGGAATATAGTATCACTATAATAAAGGATAATCTTTTAAGATTAGTAAAATTAACTTTATGAAAAACTCATTGTGCTATAGTTTTCTTATCTTTAACTGTTTAACACCATCCTGGGAATGGAACTGATGTTTACAGTTATAGATGTATAAATGAATTTATATTATGTTTGACACCTTGCTTGAGAGACAGCTTACTTTACCGGAAATGACTATGGGCATATATTTCTGAAATTTATGCCAGCTCAAACCAATTTTATGTCTGAAATCTCACCATGGGAGCATGAATAAATGCAAATTTTGGGACAGTTAACAGTACTGTGTTCATTGCCCTACCAGTCCTTGAGTGTGTCCTCATGTTTTCCAGAAATTTTTCATTGACTTTCAGCATAACTAAGGGCAGCTAAGTAAACGAATGTGCCTTTTAGGCTTAATAACTAATGTTCTTTACCAAGAGAGAGGCAACAATAGCTACAAGTGAATAAATCAGTCATTTAACTGAAACAAGGGGAAGCACATGAAGATAGTCTAAGCATTTGTATTAGCATGGCCTTTAATGTGGGGCACTGTAATATTCCTGAGTTTCTGCTTAGAAGGAGTAGAATTTTTTATTTTTCTTTAATACAGTACTGTTTGAAAAAAAGTTGTGACTAAATACAAATGGATGGAGAAAGGAAGTTTATTTTCAATCTCTGTATGCTTTCCTTATTTTCCTTCTAATTCCAACTTGAATTTTTCTCCAATTCACTTCTCACCCCTTCAGTTACTCCATGTGTAAATCAAAGTAATGCAGATCAAATGACATCATACGATGGACACTGACTTGTGTCCACAGGATTTTGCTGCTGTAACTATAGAATTCTGTTTTTTTTTTCTGTCAAAACATTTGTTTCCAAGCTGGGCATTTGTTTCCAAGCCACGCGTGGTGGCACACATCTGTAATTGTAGCACTTGTAAGGCTGAGGTAGGGGAATCATCGTGAGTTCAAGACCAGCCTGGGCTACACAGTGAGCCAGAGCAAGCCTGTACCACATGGTAAGACCCTATCTCAAAAAAACGTGTGTTTTTAGAAGCCTTTTGATGCAATTCTATAGCAATCAACATTTGAATTATAGGAAATTGGGTAAGAAGCAAGAAGTTTATAATGACCCCAAAAGATGATATGTTGCAAAACATAACAATGAGCACCTGTGATGGACCGAGAAGTTCCAGCTACCTTGACTATAGCTGGGTAAAACGGACAGAGGTGGGTTGGAATATGTGAAAGTGTTACATGGCTCTAAAAGTGGAGGTCTTCTAAATTTCTCCTCCAAAAATTGCCCACAGAAACCATGAAAGAACTGTTCCCTGCACCTGCACCTGCGCCTGCGCCTCCACCTGCACCTGCCCAGAGAAGTAAACAACACGGACGATGGAGCTTATGAGGGTGCTCAGCTCAGTTCTCCTGACCTGGGATCTTTAACGACGGCTGATCTTCTATTTCTACGTGTATGTAAGAGCCATGGTTGCATTTCCTGCTGGAAGCTACAACAGAATGGCAAGAGTACCGAGATAGAATACTATGGAAAGAAGCAGAATACCTCCTATGGACAATCTTGGCAAGGGATCAGAGGCCATCTGTTTCTTAATGGGTCTTACTCAAAGGAAAACTAAAGTTTTTCCTATCTTTACGATAGGAGGTAGTTTTACAACCTGGACCAAAGGACTCACAAAGCAATAATGTTCCTTCCCTCCCAGAAAGACAAGGAGACAAGTGTGCTATCTTCCTTTAGTACTACATTTCAAAGGAAAAAAATAGGATAAGAATGCAGAATGCAGACTCATCTCCTTCCTAAGTCTGCTCACAAACAATCCTGCTCAACTTTTAATCAGATACCAACTTGGGTTTTGATGGGAAGCTTAATCTTCCCATAATCTGAAGTTTATTTGTATTAATGCACAATAATTGCTCAGGTTATTATTCCACAAGAAGACTCATAGAGCAAACTCAACATTAAAGATGAGGAATGCTGTTAGAGAGTTAGGCACTATTAACATTACTACATGTGTCAGACACATCAAACACTTCTTAAATATAAAATTTTTATAGCATCAAGCAAGTGATCCCATAATAATAGTCTTAGGAGCAACTCTCAAACAAATTAAATATTTTACTATCATTTTTTCTACTAATTACAAACTCTACCTAGAAATGTATGCTAGTCAAGGTTCTGCCAAGAAGATGTTTTACACAAGTTTTTTATTCATAGTTTGTGAAATAGCTTCCTTATATCCAGATACTTTAAGCTATGACCATTCCCTTCCGTCAGTGTTGATAAAATTAACTGGAAAAGGTTTATGTAAACTTTTGACCTTTGACTGAGTCCTCAGGGATGCTTCTTTAATACTTTATAAGCCAGCTAAATGGATGCAGGTTATGTGATAATTAGCAAGCTAACTCAAAGAAACTTTTTGGTAACCTGAGTTAGGAACCAACAATGCTCCCAGGGGTCAGGGAATTGTTCCATAAATCCCACTCCTGCGTGTGTGAAGCAGTCTAAAATTTAATCTTATAGGTATGGGGGAGCTGTGTGAGAATTCAGGTATCTAGTGTGCCACATATCCCAACTTAATATGAGATGAAATGTTCTGCAAAGTCACAGCATTTAATTGTTTAAATGCTCTTCCAGTGACTTAATTATAATAATTTTTCCATGGGTAGGTGGGTGGCCCATCCCTGGCATGACTACCAATTTCAGCTTGTGGTTTTTATCATGGACTCAAGGCCACTTTTGTGGATCTGCTTATTCTTTCTTGGTCACTGGGACAGGAGAAGATGGGCACAGAAGTCATACCAACTGTGTTTCTTTGTCCCAATTATTTTTTTAATTCAGCAATGGTGGTTGTATTGCATATTGTTGTCTTCAAATTAGTTGTTCAGATTACCAGATATAAACATGTAAAATTGGTCAAAAAATTAAAAAGAAAAAAATTTAAGCTATGACTGTTTCTTTCAATAGACTAGTGGAAATCAGCAGTACAATTATCCCAACTATCCTGTCTATATACGTATGTATATATATATATATTTCCCTTCCTTCTTTCTTTCTTTTCTCCTTTCTCTCATCCCAGTGCCTTCCCTTTGAACAGTTTCTTTCCCTTTCACAGCATCTATTGTACCTTTGGAATTTTACTCTTCCAGGTTCTTATTAAATAAAAAGTTCAAACATGATAATGGTAGAAAAAATAAAATCTTGAACAACCCTAACATATACTTATCATCTAGATTTAATGATTAACATTATGCCCCATTTGTTTCATTTATTTTTTCCTAAGGTATTTTCAATAAATTACAAACATGAAATTTCTCCTCTAAATATTTCATGATGCAACTCTTTAAAAAGGACATCTCCCTACCTAACCACAATACCCTAATCACATCAAATAAATTAAAACCTTTTTAATGCCTCTTGTAATACTTGTTCCATGTTTAATCATTTTCAAAAGGTCTTTTAAGTTTGTCTAAGTAAGAATGAACTCAAGCTCTAAAATATAAGTTCTAAGTAAGGACATCTCCCTACCTAACCACAATACCCTAATCACATCAAATAAATTAAAACCTTTTTAATGCCTCTTGTAATACTTGTTCCATGTTTAATCATTTTCAAAAGGTCTTTTAAGTTTGTCTAAGTAAGAATGAACTCAAGCTCTAAAATATAAGTTCTCTGTTAATGAGAATAGTCCTTGTCACAACCTCTTTATCTGTTCTGAAGATTCACTTGTTAAAGAGAGTGGGCTTTATAGAGTGCCCTCAACTTCTGCCCTGGTCTAAATGTTCCTGTCAATGTTTCTTTAGCATGTTCTTTTATAGCATTATTTCACAGAAACAAGTGGTAATTTGAGCTATGCCTTGCTTTTACACTTAATATGTCCTACAGTCTATGTCCTATCAATATATAGATATATTCTTCATTCTCTTTATGACTATATACAACATTATATTGCAATATCATGATTTAATTCAGCTCATTCCTCACTGATAGGCATTTAGACTAGTTTCCACTCTTTTGCCTTTACAAATGATGTCACAATTCATGAGTTTGTGGACATGTTACATACTTTTGCAGGTGCAAGTTTAGGGTTGCTTCCTAATAATAAGATTACTGAGTCAAAGAATGAACATACTTGTAAATTTTTAGATGTTTTCTTTCTATGTTGGTTGTACCACTCTCATGCCCACCATCATCAGGGCAGGGTAATTTTTGGAAAGTACAAAAGAAGTCTCTAAGAAGACCATTTTTCATTAAGTATCTTTAATATTCCTGAAAATATGTATGGACACACCTTATTTTATTGTACTCAGCTTTACTATTCCTTGCATTTACTGCACTTTCACAAACTGAAGGTTGAATAAAACTTGAATCAAGCATTGATGCCATTTTCCAACAGCAGGTGTACCTGCATCACATTTTGGTAATTCCTGAAATATTTCAAATATTTCCATAGCATTGCGTGTATTATGGTGATCTACAATTGTTGATCTTAGACATTACTATTGTGATTGTTCTAGGGCACCAGGAATCATATGATGGTTAAGACTGTCAACTTGATTGGCTTTGGGCCCTACCACAGGATTATTAAACTACAGTCCTGGATGTGCCTACGTGGGATGTGGAAGTATGATCTTTGGGTCTACGTCTACCTCTTCATCCCACTTCTTCTTCTCTGGCACTGTCCCCTGCTCTGATTCCTGACTGCCCTGAACTGAGCAGCCTTGCTCCACTATGCCTTCCGCTTTCTGCCTTGGAGTCAACCAACCACGGAGTAAATCTCCTGAAACTTTCAGCCAAGTTAAGGTTCTCATCCTTCAAGTTGTGTCAGAAGCTATGTTCCAGCAATGGGAAAAAAGATGGCAAATTTAACTAAAAAACACTGTATATGTTCTGACTTGTTTAGCAACTGCCTGTTCCCACAACTCTCTCCCTCATCTCACAGCTGCCCTATTCCCTAAATCACAAGATATTGAAGTTAAGCCAATTTATACCTATAATAGTCTATAAGTGTTTTAGTAAAAGGAAGAATTGTTTGTTTCTCAATTTAAGTCAAAAACTAAAAATGATTTAATTTAGTGAGGAAGGCATACTACAGGTTGAGATAGGCTAAAAGGCAGGTCTTTTGCATCAGTTAGCTAAGTTCCTGAAGCAGAGGAAAAGTTCTTAAAGAAAATTGAAAATGTTTAATGGTTTAGCTATAAGATTAGGCCAGCTACAACATTCCCTTTCACCAAAGCTTAATCCAGGACAGGATCTCAATTGTCTTCAATTCTATGAAGGCTGAGAAAGGTAAAAAAGCTCCTGAAGCAAGTTTAGAACTATCACAGAATTGTTTGTGAAGTTAAAGGAAAGAAATCATCTCCATAAAGTAGAAATTCAAAGTGAAGCACCAAATGCTGATGTAGAAGCTGTAGCATGTTATCCCATAAAATCCAGCTGACTCAATGACCTGGGAGTGCAGAAGGCTACACTCAACAGTAGATTTTTCCCATAGACAAAATAGCCTTACATTGGAAGAAGATACCATCTAGGTAGGACCTTGATGGGAGAAGTCAGTGCCTGGCTTAAAGTGTCAAAGGACCAGCTGACTCTTGTCATAAATTAGGTTAGCAGCTACTGACCTAAAGCTGAGGCCAACTATCATTCATTGCCACATCCCACTTGGTTCTTGAAGTTCCTGGGATAGGGGTCGGTGAGGGAGGACAGTGAGAAGATGGAGAAATAAAAGAGAAAGCTGCGGTCAGGTGGAGGTGGGAGGAAAGGACCTGGCCAAGAACTGCAGAGCATTTATTTATACCCTAGGGAAGTTGATATTACTTTCATCTTCTCTGCCTAGAAACTTGTTTGTGAGCTGAAAAGTTTGTTTACTTGGCTCACTTCAAGTTCTCTGTGTTCTCAGGGCTGGCTTTGTCTTAGCCCCACATGTGTGATCAATCTCCAGATTCAGCCGCTCCCCACAATTTATCATACTGAAGATCCTATGGTCCTCAAGAAGTGAACTCTACTCTTTTGTGTGCTATAAGTGGAACAGCAAAGCTTCAATGACAGCTCATCTGTATATATCATGGTTTACTAACTTTTAGATCCGTTGTTGAGATTTAGATTCCTTCCAAAATATTACTGCCCTTTTACAGTACATCTGGTCACCTAATGGAACTCTACAAGGAGTTGGATGTTTGCTGAAACAACACCCACTTTGTAGCCTAGGAATCAAGGAATAATTTCAATTTTCAAATCTTATTAAGAAATACCTTTCATAAGGGTATAGATTTCACAGGTAGTTAAAATTATTCACATTCTAAATGTGATTAAGAACATTCATGATTCACCAAAGGTCAGAATGTCAACATTAATGTGAGTTTGGAAGCAGTTGATGCTAATCTTCATGGATGATGTTGAGAGGTTCAAGAATCCACTGGAGGAAGTAACTCTAAATATGATAGAAACGACGAGATAAGTTGGATTGGAAATGAACCCTGAAGATGTAACTAAACTTCTGCACTTTCATGATAAAATTTTCGTAGATGGAGTTGCTGTTAATGGATGTTCAAAGGAAATGGTGTCTT